CCCCAAAACCCCAAAACCCCAAAACCCCTACATTGCTATTCATACTTGAACAGTTTAAACCAATTAAGAAGGCCCCAAATCAAAATAAATCAATCTCTGGTCGTACTTCCATCAACCCTTCACTCCCTTACTTCCAAGCTCCTCTCCCAACTCCTGAGCTTTAATTTCAAGTGGAGCACCAGTAAAAGTGACACATTCCATAAGATTAACTAATTCAGTGTTTAAGATTCCCTTCATAATGCTACAAATCATCTTCTTGCATGAACCAATATCTGACCCTTCTGAACTAGCACAATCTATAAAATTCACTACCTTTAGATTAGTCTGAGTCACATAATTATTCTATAAATCAGTTTACTTGGAAAAAGTGACATTTTGTTGGAAAGTTAGATTTTGTTCGTGAAATATGAGTATAGATATTAAACTCATTTGTAGTGGGAAATGTTAGGTTTTAAGGAAGAAGTTAGGCAGGAGGATGTGTGGGTTGGCAAAAGGAGATAGTAGATAGGAGAAATAGAAGGGACTTACAAAGTTTTGTGGATATTTTTGGGAAGGAATTATGCAACTGTTGAAGTTAGTAGCTTGTAAATGTCTCCCACAGATTAAGATTTTGGAAATATCTCTTTTTGTCAGAATTAGTTTTGAAATATTGATTGACTCGAGTCACATGCTTAGGGTTTTATAAACAAGCATCTTGTAGAATTTTTCATTTAAGTTTAAAAAGCCATTAAATTCATTTCCGATTTGGACTTGTCTGGGATTATCTAGAAAAGCAAACATCTCACTATTAGAATAAAATGCATTTTGTAAGCATGCTCTGGAAATTTCATAAGCTTTAAAGTGTTTTGGCATCCCGTATCCATGTTGAGCTTGAATTTCAGATGAAATTTGTTCTATAAGTCCATTAGCAGCAAATAATTAACCAGAAAGATCAAAAACTATAGTTTAAGCATGTTAACCAATCTTTCGTTACCTTTGTTTTTATAATATTTGAGATTATCAGTGAAGTATTTGTTTCCAGACCATAAATATAATGCTTTACCAGCTCCTCTAAAATGTACCTTTGATATCTTTGAAGATCCTAGTTTCAGATAGATATTCTCATTCTCATTAATTTCTTCGGAGAGAATTTGTTTTTCCTTCTGATCCTTTCCAACATGCTTAGCTTCATTAAGATCCATCTGAGTATTTTCCATTTTGAGTTATCAATTATATTAATAAGATATGGGGTTTTGGGGTTTTGGGGTTTTGGGG